TTGTTGTTTCGTGATCTGGAGACTGTGCTAATTGCGGGGCTGACATTAAAACGAGCTTTGAATTCCTTGTTAATAGTGTCTCTGAGGGTAATTGGTTGTAAGTCGCTAAATGGTTGAAGGTGGTCTTCGATGAGAATGAGACGCTGGGCTTTAATGGCTTTCTTTTTCTCAGTAGCAGCTTTTTTAAAAGCGTCTCTCTTCTTGTCCATGTTTGTTTTTTGAGGAGGAGCGTGGTTGAGTTGCCGGTCTATGAGGCCTTGAGTACTGTTGTCTGTGTCTGTGTCTGTGGTAGGTTTGTTGTTTGTGGTTACCGATGCGTAGCTTCTTTTAGGAAGGCGCCTTGCGATGTTCTCTAGGTTGTTGACTGAGTTGGTAAGGGTGGTAATTGTGTTTTTGAGTGGTTTTCCCTCGGTATAGTCCCGGAAGAGGTTGAGTAGGTCCATGAGAGCGAGTTTCTTGGGCTGGTTGTCTTCAAGCTCAATCGCCTTACACAGAAGGGACCTAGATGCTATAATTGCGTCATCGGAGGTTTCTGGGTGGGACATGAGGGCGTATTTTGAGGTTAAGTTCAAGGATTGGTTGCTTCTTTGTCTTTTGGCTTGAGGCTGGGTTTCTCTGATTCTTTGGGAGTTGTTTGGCGTGCTAATGTCTATAAAGCTAGGGTTGTTTTGGTTTCGTTGGATGTGGTTAACTGGGCTGGATGGCGCATAGCCTCCTAGGAGGTAGTCTTGGCCATTGGCGCTAGGTGTTTGGGGGATTGGAGTTCCCAGGGTGATAATTGGGTAAATTGGGCTGATGGGGAGCGTGGGCTCGTTGAAGAGTTGCATGGGTTCGTAGGCTGTTCCTTCTATGACTTCTTGTTGCCATTCCGGGTTTGACTGTGTTTGGGTCGCCATAGTAGCGGCGTTGGTGGTGTAGGGGTTGTGAGAGGTCAGAAAGAGGGGGTGAAAATTTTTCACGTGATCTTTTGACGGATATATCTCTGCCACCAGAGGCAGGCCTCCTGGGAGGAGAGGGGAGTGGTTGAAATTCTAGCTGCTATCGTTTGGTTGACCGGGATTGATGGAATTCGAAGAAAAGTTTTCCTCGAAAAAGTTGTGTGGCTTTACGAAGGAGTTATCACCTCAAAAGCATGTTCTATTCGTACAACAACTACATCTTACAGATATTAGCCAGTTGATACTTGGATCAGGTGACAGCTTTCAATAAGACGCTGTCTCCTGGGGGGGTGTGTTGTGCTGGGTCTACTTTCTCTTTTGCTCCACTTCCTGATTTGATCCACTTATAGCTCTGCTGCCTAAATGCTTCATGTCTGCCTAAACCTTACACTCTTTATATAAACACCTTAGATAGCTACCTTTTACAATGCAATCAATTCTCAATGACCTTCAGTACCCAATACCCTTTCAACCCAATAGGTCCTATTATTCTTATATACAAAGATATGAATATACTAGTAGACCTAACTAAAATAAAAGAAATTCTAGATATTATAATAAATAGTATAAAGATTAGGTAGATTAGCTAGAATTACGCTAGAGACTTGTTATTAGTTTATAAAGTGAGATTTTGAGATAGTTACTCCGTGTACTTCGAAGGAATCTGAATTAAAAAGCTGCAATTTCTACTTATTCATAATACGAAGCGAGCTATCTTACTATATAGGAAGCTATAATAGGTTAACCTACTCGCGTATTTATCGTAGGCGAACCTTAATATTTTTATAAGGTAAGATATAGATATACTAGCTATAACGCTATACTATACCTTTACATTTATATTTATAGTAGCTTTATTGAAGGTCTATTTTTCGGTGGTTTATGGAGCGCAGGAATCGAACTTGCTAACTTGGGTGATATTAAGTATTTAAGTAGGTTTAATTAAAGGGTTAAATGTGACGAAACCGGTATCTAACTAACTAAAGGTATCGAGTTCGACTGTTGGTATGCGGGAAAGAAGACAACTATCAGGTCGTGTGTTTACTCAAAGGTAAACTCGTCACTTGTACAAAGTAGTCAAGACAGCAAAGGTATTGAATGCAATGTAAACTAAGTTGAGCACGAGGCTCCTATCTAATGGCAGACGTGCCAGTGTTATATAGAACCTTTGTTGCCTTGTCCTAACTGTTGGATCGCCAGGGTCGCTAGAGNGCACGAGGCTCCTATCTAATGGCAGACGTGCCAGTGTTATATAGAACCTTTGTTGCCTTGTCCTAACTGTTGGATCGCCAGGGTCGCTCGTCTACCGAGTCGACCTAGACGACTGGACTAGACGACTGGAGCGCTCGTCGCTCCAGGCGACCCAACGTGTCACGTGATACCAACCAAAGGAAATCCCTGGATCGCTTAGCTAGCCCAAGCGATCCGAGCCGTTACAGCGTGTGTTCTCAAGAAGGGCTATTTCGCTGCTGAGACCTGGTGGCCTGGCCGCTACCGCACTAGCAATAATAGAAGGACGTCAAACCGTGTCAACTCACACATCCAGCTCCTCGAGAAAGTAGTATATAGCGGAGCAAGAGCCATTCTCCCAGTATACCGGACAACCCAGCTTGCAGCATTGCTCAAAGAAGCTCATATCCCCCCGCCCGAAATCGCACTTAATCAGGCGACACAGGCCTTCGCAGCCCGGACAGCTAGTCTTGACCCACGTCACCCTCTCCAAAAGCGAGCCACAAAAGTAATTCAGCTAGGCAGGCCGACATCCCGA